TGTAGGGAAATATGGGGAACTCCCTCTGCTAAAGTTCAGCTCCTGCTGGGGTGTGTGTGAGTCAGGGCTGGAGGCAGGACAGGCTGGGCTGGGCTGGGCTGCAGCACCCATTGGCATATGTGTGAGCAGTTTGGGTTTGGGCTGGGCTGGGCTGGGTTGGGATAGTCCACAGCACACACTGCATGACCAAAAGCTAGAGCAGGGTGCAGTCCAGGCCAAGTTGGAATGCAACACCCACCAGTTCACATGAGTGCTGGAGGTAGTGCAGATTGAGCCAGGCTGCTGCACTGGCCGGCGAGTTAGGACCAGGACAGGCCATATTGAGCCAGGCTGCTGCACTGGCCGGCGAGTTAGGACCAGGACAGGCCATATTGAGCCAGGCTGTAGCACCTGCTGGCAAATGCTGAAAATGGGAGTAGACCATTTCAGACTGGGCCTCAGCAACCGCTGGCATGCACAAGATCTAGGGCTGGGAGCTGGCCTGGTAGGGGAACTCCAGGGACTGCCCTGCTGGATCACTGCTTCCAGTGGTGAGTATGAGAACTGGGACTGGAGCGGGTCAGCCTGGGCAGGGCTGCAGTACTAGTCAGCCAGCCCGTGAGCTGAGCTGGGACAGGCCCAACTGGGAGAGGCTGCTGTACTTGTTAGTGCAAGAGCAAGCCAGAATGATCGTGGGCTGGCAGGCTGGGCCACCACATCTGCTAGCAGTACTGGAATTGTGTGTTAGTCATACTAGGCTGGACTGCAGTACCCGTGGCAAGCACAAAATCAGCCTGGTAGCTGGTTGGTTGGGGGAACTGTGGGTACTCTCTCACTAGGCTGCGGCTTCCACTGGTGAGCATGACAAACAGGGCTGGGGGTGGGCTAAGCTGGTTACAGCAGTAGTACCCGTTAGCATATATGTAGGTTGGGATTGGGGGTAGGTTCGGCTGTGCTAAGCTGCAGCACCCATGGGTGTTCATGAGAGCCAGATGAGACACAGGTTGAATGAGGCTTGGCTGTAGCTCATGCCAGCTAAAAACTGGGGCTGGTGGGGGCTACTGAGGGTTGGTTGTCTCAGTTAGGTCACAGAACCCACTAGTATGCATGAGGACTGGGCCTGTGGTGGGCTGGGCAGGGCTAGGCCATAGCATCAGTCAGTTTGCGTGAGAGATGGGGCTAGGGCAGGACTGACCAGGTAGTTACCTCTAACCGTACCTGAATTGGCTAGTGCAAAAAAGAGCAAAACTGACCCTGCACTAGCTGGCTCACACAAGAGTCAGGTCTAAGGTCACCACAGGCGGGCTTTCTTGGGGGACTCTCCAGCTTAGAGCACTGGACTCAAACACCAGCCACAGGGAAAATCACAAGATATGTGGTCTTGGGCCTGGTGCAATAGCGTAGTGGTTAAAGTGCTCACCTTGTACACACTGGGATCCCATGTGGTCTCTGGTTCTAATCCTGGCAGCCCCTGCTTCCCATCCAGCTCCCTGCTTGTGGCCTGGGAAAGCAGTCAAGGACAGTCCAAAGCCTTGGGACCCCGCCCCCGCATGGCAGACCTGGAGGAAGTTGCTGGCTCCTGGCTCTGGATCAGCACAGCACCAGCCGTTGTGGTCACTTGGGGAGTGATTCATCGGATGGAAGGTCTTCTTCTTTGTCTCTCCTCCTTTCTGTATTTCTGACTTTGCAATAAAAATGAAAATAGAGTCTTTAAAAGAAAATAAGCTTACATACAGCCAAGCCAGTGTGTGGAAGAGTGACGGGCTCTGTCCCCAGGTTCCTCTGTGCTCCGTCCATACACACAGTTGAACTGCTGTTAGTTCGCGGATACCCATGGTCAATGACATTTTTCTTCAGATGCTCCAGCACCAGGCTGGAGAGGGGTGCCTGTCCCATGGCCTCCCCAGCAATCCACTCCTCCCATTAGAGTGCTTCCCACATTGTTGTTGGACTTGTAATGTAATCACTGTTTCGCTCTAATAGGTGTAGGTTCCGTGAGGATGGCTGCTGTCATTATCTTGTGGTTGCATCCTCAGCGCACATCAAGCACCTCGCAAACATATGTAGAGATGCCAAATACAATTTTCTGAAAACATAACAAAAAACTGAAAATAGTCTATGCAGAATATGGAGCAATGGTATTTAAGAATAGGGGAATGGTCCAGGGTCCTCTCTGTGGGAATTAGGCAAAAAGTCGCTCCGACCCCTTCAGTCTGGAACCTTGTGTTGTGGACAAATGGCCTGACCTCTCACATTAGGTTAAAGGCTCTCAGCTCTGGCTACACACTGGGGAAACCTGAACCTTTTAGAGCCTAGACCCCAATCTCAAATAATCCCATGTAATGGGGCCTGAGGCTTTATTTGAATTTTTTGAAGTCTTATTTTTATTTTTTTATTTGAAAGATTTATGGAGAGAAAGATCTTCCATCTACTGATTTGCTCCCCAAATGGCTACAACAGCCAGAACTGAATCAATCTGAAGCCAGGACCCAGGAGCTTCTTCTGGGTCTCCCATGTGGGTGCAGGATCCCAAGGCTTTGGGCTGTGCTCCACTGCTTTCTCAGGCCACAAGTAGAGAGCTGGAAGGAAGTGGAGCATCCAGGATAAGAAATGAGGCCCATCTGGGATCCCGGCGCGGGCAAGGTGAGGATTCAGCCGCTAGGCTACTGTGCCGGCCCAAGACTTTATTTATTAAGATGTATTGACTTATTTATTTTCATTTTATTTGAAAATCAGGGAGACTGATCTTCCATCTGTTGGTATGCTCCCCAAATGCTCACAGCAGCCAGGGCTGTGCCAGGCTGATGCCAGGTGCCACACTGGTAACAGGCACTCGGGCCCTGAAGCCTTATTGCTACCTTCCAGGATTCACGTTAGTGGGAAGCACAGCGGGGAGGCAAGTCCTGGCATGCGGGATGGCCCAAGTGATGTCTGTTAGAGTGTTGCATCAAATGCCTCATCCTCGAGCTTTTAGAGCTTCCAAGGCATTCCACTGTTCTGGATTGAGAATTACACGTAAGACATGGTATTTTGCTCCCGGCAGACATGTTTGCATTGTGTAGGCCTGCACAGGCGTGCTGCCAAGGTTGGTGTCACAGCCACACGCAAACACCAGCACCAACCGCTGGCGGTTCTCCACTTGCTGCAGGAGACTTGGCCTTTTATCACCTGTTCCCAAATGGCTAAGCACATCCCCACTTGTTCCACGCTGAGGAGGAAGCTGATAGGCAGCTGTACCATCACACCGCCACTGCCAAGTCCAGGAAACAGCCCCAAAAACTGTTGAGTGATTGTTAAATAAATTTACTATGTCAAATTCCAGAGTTCATGGGCCAGCACCGTGGTATAGTGGGTAAAGCCGCCACCTGAAGTACTAGCATTCCGTATGGGTGCTAGTTCCAAGTCCATTTCTGATCTAAGTCCCTGGTGACCTGCCCTGGGAAGGCATTGCAGCATGGCCCGCGTGCTTGGGATCCTGTACCCGTGTGCGAGGGCCCCAGAGGAGGCTGCTGGCTCCTGACTGGCCCATTTCTGGCTGTTGTGACCATTTGGAGAGAGAGCCAGCAGATGGAAGATCTGTCTCTCCCTCACTCTTGACTCTGCCTTTCAAATTAATGAAGAAGTAATTCCAGACTTCTTTATCTCAAAAACAAATAACAAATCCTCCAGGGACTCTGAGCCAGCGGCCTGGGAGCTGTGTGGGCACATCTCCCGCAGTGCAGGGCTGCTCTGGTCCCTGCCTGTGCCGACTGCGGCGGAGTCGGTGAGACAACAGTCCCCATTCTTCCAGCAAATCACTTTGTTCTTGCCCTCAGGCCAGCCAGTGATGAGGTCTGGTACATGTAAACAGAAAAAGGACTTTCATAATAATGCAAAACACCATCGGATTTCCAAACTGCACTCTGCCCATCTGAATCAATCTGAAGCCAGGACCCAGGAGCTTCTTCTGGATCTCCCACATGGGTGCAGGGTCCCAAGGCTTTGGGTTGTCCTTAACTGCTTTCCCAGGCCACAAGCAGGGAGCTGGATGCAAAGTGGAGCAGCAAGGACACAAATTGGCACCCATTTGGGATCCTGGTGTGTGCAAGTCAAGGACTTTAGCCACTAGGCTACCGCACTAGGCCCAAAAAAAAGTATATTTCACACAATTCTCCACACATTTTAATCCTGAAGTTCATTCGATCATATTAAATAGGATCCTTTTGTTCAGCTGAAGCTGTTTCCATTGGGGATTGAGTCCAAAATCTAGACAATCTCTTGTTCAAACGGCATTGTATTTGCATATGACTTCTGCAAGTCCTTCTGTAAACTTTAAATCATCTCTAGTGGAGAGTGCTTGGCCTAGATGCTGGTTGGGATACCCACATCTCACACCAGAGTGCCCGGATGAGCGTCCTGGCCTGTAAACAATCCCATACCATGGGAAGAGCAGGTGATGGCCGAGTAGCTCAGTCCCTGCCACCCACCGGGAGACCTGGATTGGATTTTCAGTTCTGAGCTCAGGCCTGACCTGGCTGAAGCCCTTGTGGGGATTTGGGGAGCGAAGCAGCAGTGGAGTGCTCTTTCGTGTTGTGCTCAAACAACTAAAAAAAAAAAAAAAAGAATGAAAAACATTTACTTATTTTAAAGTCAGAATTACAGAGAGCTCAAGGCTGCAATAACGTAGAGCAGTGCTGCCTTGAGTCCTGGCCATGGTGCTTCCAGTTAATGCTCCAGGAAAGGCAGCCGATGACGGCCCAGTGCCTGAGCCCCTGCTACTTGCTGTGCCGTAACATGGGCCCTCAATGCATTGTGGGAAGCAAGCATCCCCCTCTATTCTTTACACCTAGCTGGAGTTTGCCCTTGAAGCAGCTTTCCCCTTACACTTTGGGCTGGATGGGCTGAGGGGCTCCTTGACCATGTCGCACCATCCTCACTCACATGGTATGTCCCTGCACTGCCCTCGCAGCGGGCTCCCTGTCACAGGGACCGCATTGCTTCTAGCCATCTAACCCCGGACAGAGGAAGGCACCGGACACGGCTCACTGATGACAGTTTATTATAATCTGTTAGTAGTACACAGGCTAGTGTTAACGACACCAGAGTTAGTCTGCACGGGAGCGGCCAACGACCCGTGCCACGCGACGGGGACTGTGCACACTCAATCATCGTCCTTCAGACTTTTGATCTTGTGCTTGTGCCGCTCGATCTCCTTCTGCAGCCGCTCGATCTCCTTCTTGTGATGCTCGATCTCGTCCTCATGGTGTCTCTTCAGGGCGGCCAGCTGTTCCTTCGACTTTGCTCTGCAGGGACAGTTACTCTGCCTTTAACCTCCAACCCTTGCACCCACAGAGAGCTCTAAGCACAGCCTGCTCCCCTCCCCCTTTTCAGATTTATTTATTCGAAAGGCAGAGTTAGAGAGAGATTTTCCACTTGTTTATTCCTCAAGTGGCTACGATAGCTGAGGTTGGGCCAGCCTGAAGCCAGAGCTTCTTCTGAGTCTCCCACACAGGTGCAGGGACCCAAGAACTTGGGCATCTTCTGCTGCTTTCCCACGTGCGTGAGCAGGGAACTGGATCAACAGTGGAGGAGCTGGGATTTAAGCCGGCACTATACAGCAAGCAGTGGCTTCACTTGCAATACCACATCATGTGCTACTGTTTCAAATTCACCTTTAAAATGGAAAGCTCCAGAGATGTGACCTAAGATCCAATACCTTATCAGTGGACAACCCAGAGAAATGAACTCCCCAAAAGCATGGAGACAAAGAGTTTGGATTAAGTGGTTAAAGGACATATATCTACTTCCCATTCCACCTTATCTGTAGAAATATAGAAGCCAAAAATAAAAGGGCGGCGCTTGGCAGTTCCATTTTAGTTCTCAGGGAGTGCAGGGAAAGTTTTCAGCCTAGAGGTTAAGAAGCACAGGTCTTGGGCCCAACATGGTAGCCTAGTAGATAAAAGTCCTGGCTTTTTGCATGTGCCGGGATTCCACTTGGGCTCTGGTTTTAATCTTGGCTCCTCCGCTCCCCATCCAGCTCCCTGCTTGTGGCTGGGAAAGCAGCTGAGGATGGCCAAAAGCTTTGGGATCCTGCACCCATGTGGGAGACCCAGAAGAGGCTCCTGGCTCCAGGTCGATGCAACCCTGGCTGTCATGGCCAATTGGGTAGCGAATCAATGGATGGAAGATCTTCCTCTCTGTCCCTGACTTTCCAATAAAAATAAGTAAATCTTAAAAACAAACAAAAAACCCAGAGGTCTCCTACCAGAGTAGCTGGATTCCACTGCCAGCTCCCAACTCATCCTGCTACTGCAGGCCCTGGGAAGCTCGGGTGATGGCTCCAGGCCTGACTTCTGCCGCCCACACCAAAGACCTGGACTGAGTTCCCAGTCCCCACCTGTCCATTCCTAGCCCTGTGGGCATTTACGGAGTGAACAGGTAGATGAAAGATGTCTTCCTGCCTGCCTGCCTCTGGAACACATTTTTAAAAATTAGGGGGAAATAAAAGGGGGTTAGGGAGACTGGATTATATTATCAACTACCACATTTAAGGCTCAATTTTCCTTAAGTATAAAATGTAGGGGTCCAATGACCTGGTGGCTAAGGGCTATACCTCAGCTCCCTAGTATGGTGACAGTTCTTAGAAGGTTCAAGGGCAAGGTGTAGGTCAAAGAAGGAGCAGTAGCAAGGCTGGCTCCTCCCTGCTCCCCAGGGTGGACAGAAGTCAGTTAAAGATAGACCAAGCCTAAAGATAGCTCCGGGCTGGGATCGGTAGGGGCAGCCCATTGCGTGCCTACACAGGAAAGGGAAAGGGCCAGCCCAGAGATGGCATAGGGCAAAAGTCTCCGGAAGGGGGTGGGGTCCAACCGGGAACAGGTGACCCGTCTGCTGTGATCCACTTCCTCTGGAGGACACACGTGGGGGTCAGAAACGACTGAGAGGATGTGAACAGTTAGGCAAGTCACACAGACTTGCAGGAATAAGGCATGCAGGGTTGGGGAAGAGAGCCTGGGTGGGAGTGGGGGTGACAGGCGCGTGACGGCTGATGGAGGCAGGCTAAGAGGGTCTCCAAAACCTGGAGCACCTAGGAAGGTTCCCAACGTCGGGGAGAATTCCATGGTGGTGGGTGGTAAATGACGAGTGAGTCAGCTGCAGGTTGACAGTTCTACAAACCCGCAGGTACCAATGGCTTGGGCTTTGGGGACAAGGAGACTGTTCCCCGCGGAGGAAACCGGGAGCGCCTCCTATATGGTAGCCGTCAGGAGCTCAAAATGTCGGAGTGTGTGAGGTGCGGGCTCTGGGGGTTCTCTCGGGGGATGAGACATCCCCAGGAAGCAGGCAGGGCTGAGTGGAGCCGTTGGAAGCTTAACGGCCTCGGACAGCCCGAGGAGGCTGGGGCTGGACTCGGCACCCGACGGTCACTCACCGGAAGTATCGGTCCTCTTCGGCCTTTTCTCGCTTTCCGAAGGCCCCTCCGGCTTCCCGGATGGAGCCCGCGCTCCCGGGGTGATCGTCGGACTGCGGAGAGAGACGGAGACACGCGTCAAGATGCGGCGAAGCGCCGATGCGGACCCGCGCTCGGGGCTGGGGCTGGGGCGGCGCCGCGGCATACCTTGTCCGAGGCGAAGCCACGGGTTTGTACGGCCCTCGCGCCCCACACCCCGAGCCGCGCCCGCGCAACCGACACGGAGCCAGCCATGATCACCTGCGTAGCACCGCGGGCGTCTCCGCGGCCGCAGCGGCTGTGGACGCGCTAAGCGCCAGGCTGATCACGCAACCAATCCGTTCGGCGGAGGGGCGGGACGAACGTAGGAATAGCGAATCCTAAGAGAGAGGAGGCGGGATGCCTGGGCTTCACAGCGAGTCCTGAGCGAGAATTGCACCTTCTCTTACCCAATCGCCAGCAAGGGCTACGTCCGGGCTCAAAGGACTGCTGAGGCGGCTGGGGGAGACTGGGCAGAAGGATAAGGAGATAAGGACCTGTCATTTCGCCTTTCGAACCTGCCAGAATGAGGCGTGGCGTTCGTCTCGCAGCAATCCTAAAGTCGTTATGAGAAATCCAAAGGAAGCCGTCCACTGACTGACGGGGACTGTGCGGCGTGGTGGGAGGTTTAGGATACCGGCTCCAGACAAGCTGCACTTAACGCACTAAGAATCACGTGTGTGTCTTAGGCGATTCCTGTCAGTTCTTCACCTACATTGACTTTCCCCCCTCGTCTCAGGTAACATTTCACCTCCGAGGCCCCTCCCCGACCCCGCGTGGCTGCCCCATCAGAGAATATCAGGAATCGAGTCCGCACTGAGCTAACACTTGGCTCTGACGAATTGTGGAATGTGTGGATCCACTGTCGTATTCCGTGGAAATAGAAGCCTAGGAAAGTTTGATTTACCTGCAGGAAGTCTCTCGCCCTTAGCCAAGTCTCTCACCCTTAGTCGTTTTCTCTTGCTGGGCCAGGTTTCTTCTCTTTTAGATGATATGGGTTGATCCACATTAGCTGTCTTATTCATGATTATAAATATGCCATCTTGGTTTTTGTTAGTTTGTTTAAGGTTTGTATATTTTTTCTGAAAGTTAGAGGGAGACAGAGATCTTCCATCACTCTCCAGATGATGTCACAGCCAGCACAGCGCCAGGCTGAGACCTGGAGACAAGCTTCACATGGGGCTTCTGCATGGGTCGCCGCGATCCAAGCACTCGGGCCATCTTTAGTTACTCAGGTGCATTAGGAGGGAGCTGGGTTGGAAGTGGAACCACAGGGACACAAACTGGCATTCCTGAGGGATGCTGGGATTGCAGCAGGCAGCCTTGTCCTCACTAACTTCCCTTTGTTTTCTAGGAAATGATAGAACTGGACTTTAAGAGAGACAGAGAAAGAAAGAGATGTCCCCTCCATTGACTCACTTCCCACATGCCTGCAATAAGCCTTGGCTGGGTCTGAAGCCAGGAGCTGGGAACTCCCAGTTGCCACATGGGTGGCAGGCATCCAATTCCAGGATCTATCACCCCGGGCTGCCTGGGGAACTGCAGGAGGCTCCCGCTGGACCCAGCAGGCAGCTTGACCACCAGGCCAAATGCTCACTTAGGCAGACCTGGATTTTATGGATCATCTGTTTTTGTTTGTTTCTTTTTAAGATGTATTTATTTTTATTGCAAAGGCAGATTTACAGAGAGAAGTAGAGACAGAGCGAGCCACTGGTTTCGCTCCTCAAATGACTGCAATGGCCAATGCTGAGCCAATCCAAAGCCAGGAGTCAGGAGCTTCTTCTGTGTCTCTCACACAAGTGCAGGGTCCCAAGAACCTGAGCCATCCTCCACTGCTTTCCCAGGTCTTAAGCAGGGAGCTGGATTAAAAGTGGAGCAGTCAGGACTCTACCTGGTGGTGGTTGAGTGGGGGAACTTTGACAAAAGCTTCGCGCATGTGGGTGGCACAACATGAATTTAGATGATGGTTTCTTCTTCTTTAAGGAGTCTCGAACAACTCAACTTTTTCCTTTGCTCTTTCTGCTTTCTATGACCCCTTTGATCCCCGCACTAGGATGCTGTCAGTAAAAAGCAGTCCTCTCCTGTCAGTGGGTCCTGGCTAATGAACCACTGTGAGTGAAGCAAAACACATCGGAAGGTGCCTTTGTTATGGAATACGCTGGGGTGCACCAGTGACACCCAAGAGGAGAAAAACCAAGCCCAAACAAAAAGTGCCTGCCCGCCCGCCAACTACTCCCTCCTCCCCCCCCGCCCCCCCGCCAGCACCAGGGAAGGAAGGAGGGAGGGATGCAACAACAACAACAACAAAAAGCATCCCACATGGGCTGCTTCTGCTTGCAGGTAGAGGAGTAGTCTGATGAGCCATATGAAGATGCCAGCCCCAGAAGGCAGCTCCAGTGGGCACATTTTCACATGTTCACCTCAGAGAAACACCAAGGCAACATGGAAATACTAGTAACCAGTTACAAGACCACTATCTAGGTAGAATAGCCTAGTGTGTTTCTAGATATTTTTAAAGATTTTTATTTGCTGCATGCAGTTTGTAAAAAATAACAGTGTGATTTGACAAAGAACAGGACAAGCTGTATCTGGAATCTTGAGTCTACAGATGACTGGCACCAAGAGATCAAGGTCAAATTCTGTGGACAACAGTCCCTGAGTGGGCAAAAGTTCAAGACCAAGGCCGAGGCCTGCAGGTGAGGGTCTTCAGTTAGGTAACAGCCCAAGGCCAAGGGCTGTGTGCTTGAAGATATCCTTGAGACAGTCACATACTGACTACTTTTTAATTTATTTTTGTTGCAAAATCAGATATATATATCTTCCATCCGATGATTTATTTCCCAAGTGACTGCAGTGGTCAGTGCTGCCCCAGTCCAAAGCCAGGAGCCAGGAGCATCTTCTGGGTCTCCCATGCGGGTACAGGTTCCCAGGCTTTGGACTGTCCTCCACTGCTTTCCCAGGCCACAAGCAGGGAGTTGGATGGGAAGTGGGGCTGCCAGGATTAGTACCAGCGCCCATATGGGATCCTGGTGTGTTCAAGGTGAGGACTTTAGCTGCTAGGCCATGCCGCCGGGCCCACATACTGACTTCTTTCTTTTCACTTGAAGATTTATTTATTTTTATTGGAAAGACAGATCATATTTACCAAAAGGAGAGACAAAGATCTTCTGCCTGCTGGTTCCCTCCTCAAGTGGCTGTGATGGTTGGATCCTGGCTAGGAGCTAGGAGCTTCCTCTGCGTTTACCATGCAGGTGCAGGATTCCAAGGCTTTGGGCCATCTTCTACTGCTTTCCCAGGCACATTAACAGGCAGCTGAATAGTAAAGGAAGGAGCCAGGACTCCATCTGACACATATATGGGATGGCGATGCTGCAGGTGGCAGCTGTACTTGCTAAGCCACGGTGCAGTCCTCTTTCTAAAGGATCTATAAATATCGTCTCAGAAACTCTAGTCTCAGATACTCTGTGTCTTGTTACCTCTTCAGAGGAGAAGCCAGTGGAAGAATCTTCTGAGCTTGTACAAAAGGCCCACTAAGTTGGCTGCCATCATTGTCGTCGTCATCATGATAACAATAATGCAAAATAACAACTGATGGTGCCACTGTAGAGAAACTGAAACCCTTGCACATTGTTCTAGGGAATGTAAAACGGATCAGCCACTGCGGAGAACAGCTTGGTGACTGGTTTAAAAATTAAACACAGAATTACCCCAAGACTCAACGTTTCTTCTAGGGATAAACCCCTCACAAATTAATAACTGAAGCTTTATTTGGGATGAGCCTTACAAATATTGTGCCAAGGGAGAGGAACCAACACGAGGGAACATATTGTAGAATTCCATGTGTATGAACTACCTAGAATGGCAAAACTCCAGAGATGGGACACAGATTGGCTGTTGTGAGATGGGGAAAGAAAGGAATTTTGGAGCCTGTTTACGAATCAGATAGAAATGATGACTGTGCGACACTAGGAATGTACTCAAAGCCACTGCGCTTTTCCACTTTATGATGACTAATTACGTATACTTCACTATAATTGGAATAAAAATTCCACTTAACGCGGGCCTGATTGGGCTGGGAGCTCTTTAAGGGTCGCTCAGGAGGGGGCGGGGCCAGAAAGGCGGGCCTGTGAGGCTCACGTGAGGCGGCGCCTGCGCAGAAAGGTCACGTGGTGGCTGGCCGGGGAAATGGCGGCTACGGGAGAGAGTGGGGCTTCGGCCGGCGGAGGCAGCACAGAGGATGCGTTCATGACCTTCTACAGCGAGGTGAATACACAACAGGGACTGGTGATCAGGGACGATCCCGCTGCGACCTGCGCTCCCTGTGGTCGGAGGCAGGGAGCTGCCTGGCCCGGACCGTTGGGGGGGATCCGGCTGTCTGGCCTTCGGGGCGGCGCGGCCCGGGGGTGTGTGTACGTGAGTGCGTCTCCCATTCCCCGTAGATGCTGGGGTATCCCCTGGGTCCCGAAAGAAGGACAGATGTCTGGGCGTCTGGCATTTGGAAGGAGACGGCGGCGGTGGCCAAGGGGGTGCCTGGGCATGGAGTGTCCGTATAACGCGCAGTCGCGGGCTGGCAGAGTGGGTGACTCGACTGTCTCGGCCTCTGGCTTTCTTCTAAACAGGACGGTTTCTAAGTACTTTGTGATGAGTGATATTAGGGATGGTTTCCGTGGGTCATGAACGCTAAGCGTGCATCATGACAGGTAGACGTTATGTGACCCCCATTTTACGGGTGACGTGCCTGAAAGGTGGGGGGGAAGAATCATTTGCTTGGGGTCTTGTAGCAGGTGTCAGCTTGGGGTCGGGTGAGATGGGAGTAAGCTTGTTCCAAGCCTTGTTTATGATCACCTGTCCCGTGCCTAGAGAATGCTCAGTGCATCCTGGTCAAGTAAGGGAATGAATACATAAACTGAGAGCATAACCTCGGGAGTCCGTTTCACACTGGATTCTTGGCTGGCACTTGACTGCGACTGAATTATCTCAGAACATTGATTTTGCGCATCTTTTGGTTTTCATATCTCTAAGATGAGTGTTAATATTAACGCAAGAATTTTTGTGAAAAACAATGGAATAAGTGTAGAATAGAGGGTTTCAGGTAATACAAAGCAGAAGCAGCTTTCTCAGAGTTAGAAGGAGGCTGAAAAGGGGTTAGGGGAGTGGTCAGAATCCCCTGTGGATGTCTGTTGTTGGAGTCCCAGCTGCTCCACTTTCCTTTTTTTTAAAAAAAGATTTATTTATTGGGTCCGGCGCGGTGGCGCAGTGGTTAAGGTCCTCGCCTTGCACGCCCCGGGATCCCATATGGGCGCCGGTTCTAATCCCGGCGGCCCTGCTTCCCTTCCAGCTCCCTGCTTGTGGCCTGGGAAAGCAGTTGAGGACAGCCCAGAGCTTTGGGACCCTGCACCCACGTGGGAGACCCGGAAGAGGCTCCTGGCTTCGGATCGGCATAGCATTGACCGTTGCACTCACTTGGGGAGTGAATCATCGGACGGAAGATCTTTCTCTCTCTCCTCTCTGTATATCCGCCTTTCCAATAGAAAAATAATAAAAATAAATCTTTTAAAAAAAAGATTTATTTATTTTTATTACAAAATCAGATATACAGAGAAGAGGAGAAATAGAGAGGAAAATCTTCCGTCCGATGATTCACTCCCCAAGTGAGCGCAACGGCCGATGCTATGCTGATCCGAAGCCAGGATCCAGGAACTTCTTCCGGGTCTCGCACACGGGTGCAGAGTCCCAAGGCCCTGGGCCGTCCTCGGCTGCTTTCCCAGGCCACAAGCAGGGAACTGAATTGGAAGTGGAGCTGCCGGGATTAGAACTGGCGCCCATATGGGATCCCGGTGCGTTTAAGGTGAGGACTTCAGCCGCTAGGCCACACCGCCGGGCCCCTAGCTGCTCCACTTTCTATGCAGTTCCCTGCTATTGGCCTGGGCTAAGCAACAAAGAATGGCCCAGCCCAGGTCTTGGGCCCTGCCGCCCATGTGGGAGAAGCTGCTGGCTTTAGACTGGTTCAGCCCTGGTGGCTGTGGTCATCATGAGAGGGAGCAGCTAATGTAGGATCTCTCTCCTTTTCTGTGTCCCTGCTTTTCAAATCAATGATTTTTAATCAAATTCTAACAATAGTAATACTTATGAAACATCTTTTAAGAAAAAGCTAATGATGGGAAGACTACGTTGGCATGGACTGAGGAACGCATGTCAGCTACCTCCAGGTGAACTCGTCAGGAGCTGTGAACTACATAGTTAAAGGCAACGTGACATTCATTTTTTTAGTCTTGGTGTTGTTTTAAGATTGATTGACTGATTTGAAAGAGAGGGGAAGAGACTGAGAGATCTTGCACCTACTGGTTTTCTCCTCCCTGGATGGCTGCGTCAGCCCAGGATTGAGCAGATGGAAACCAGAAGCCGGGAGCTTCACCTGGGTCTCCCACATGGGGCAGGGGCCTGAGCATGTGGGGCATCTTCTGCTTTTCCAAGTGTGTTAGCAGGGAGCTGGAGCAAAAGTGGAGCAGCACTGCAGGAGGCAGCTTAACCTGTTGTGTAACAGCATCTCTCCCTGTCTCTGGCATATCTAACAGTGCTTGTTCCATAGTAGTTTCTCCAAAGTGTTAAATTTAAAATGGCAATTAGCACATCCTTTATAGTCTGTCCTTTGGAAATACTTCACTGGAAAGGAAGAGTGTTGCTACCATGGTACCAAAGGTTATTGCCTTCTAATGACTTAGCTATTATGGTAAAACTGGTTTTACTTACCATTTCTGAATTAAAAAAAGAAAAAGGCAACCTTATTTTGTTTGAAATGAATGGGAGAAAGTACCTGAGGGAGGAGTTTTCCCTAGCCCTCAGGCGCCAGGTGTCAGGACCTTGATTTGTGCTATTGAGGTGTCCAGGATGTGGTAGTGAAGAACAGGAGAAGGTCCTGTCTTCGTAGCTTGTGTTCTCAGAGGAGGATAAACCATGCATGAATAGGTGCATAGTGTAGTGTGTCACGTGTTGCTAAGTGGGGGTGGGGAGGGAGGAAATTAAGTTTGGAAAGAGGATTGTGGAGGGTGCGGGGGGGATTGGATATGTTGTATTAGAAAGTAAAAATGCTGAGGAGTGACTCTCCCCCCCCCGCCCCCGTCCCCATTGGAAAGTCAGATCAACAGAGAAGAGAGACAGAGAGAAAGACCTTCCATCCATTGATTTACTCTCCAAATGGCTGCAATGGTGGTTCCTGAGCTGATCCCGACTCAGAAGCCAGGAGCTGCTTCTGGCTCTCCCATCTGGGTGTGCGGTTCCAAGGCCTTGGGCCGTCCTCTACTGCTTTCCCAGGCTACAAGCAGGGAACTGGAAGGGAAATGGAGCATCCAGGACATGAACTGTGCCCATATGGGATCCCAGTGCTTGGAGGTTGAAGATTAGCCAGTTGAGCCAGTGTGATATCCCCAAGGAGTGGCGTTGTATGTCACTGTCCTTTTTTTCCACATTGTTCTGGCCATAAGAATAAAGGTGCCATGTAATACAGCCGAGATTCATTCTAACCCACTTTGCAGTTTGGACGGTGGCACCAGGGAAACTTTTGGGGGCTACTAGTATTTGTTCTCTTTGGCATTATCTTTGGGTCAAAGCTTTTTCTGACTTACTATAAAAGCTAAGGAGAGTGATTTGTTCTGTCTCAAAACATTATTTTAAGGCAGGGAGAGAGAGGCTTATTCCCTCGAATTATGCCTGCTCTGCAGTACAAGCTGATGGGGTTAGAACTATGCCTAATAGGTAATGCAGATCAGTTAGCTTTGCGAAGCCTCAGTTTTCTTAACCTGTTGCATGAGATTGTTGAGATTATAGCTACTGTGAAGTTTGTACATTATTGAAGTTTCATAAATGGCAGCTCTTGTACTTGTCTCTCAAAGTGTCTAATAAAATATACACAATAGACAACACAAATTGTTGTTTGCTGATTATGCTGGTGAGTATTGTATTAAAGGAGACAATTCAATTTACAGTGCAGTTTTACTAATGAAGTTTTTTATCCTTCTAATTTTAGGTGAAACAGATAGAGAAGAGAGATTCTGTCCTAACGTCCAAAAATCAGATTGAAAGGTTGACCCGTCCTGGTTCCTCTTACTTCAACCTGAATCCCTTCGAGGTGAGTTGACTGATGCTGGCCTGCGCCAGGGGAGGGGAACTCTCCGTAGCTGCATGCAGCATCCCAGCGCACACCTGTGGCTGAGGTCAGTCCCAGCTCTGGGACTCTGCCCAAGGCCCGGTGTGTGCTCAGGTTAGTGTTCTTGTGAACAGCGTTGGAAAGGCAGCTTGGTAAGAAAACAGATGATGTGTGCCCTGTCATGTGTTCTCTGCCGACTTTCAGCAACCCAAATATACAGGGATTTCTTTTCAGATATGGAAAGATAGCTCTTGTGTAAGTTTAGGTCTTTTGAAATTACTTGTGAAAACTTTTTGTTTCAAAGCTATTAAGAAAAAAAAAGCAAATACCCGACGACAACAAAATAAAGATCCTAAAATTTTAGACCAGGGACTGTACCATTTGATTTCCTTAATTTAATTATTTTAAGCTTTTTATGATGATAAGTCATATTCTTACAGGAAATTTTGAAATACTGAGAAATAATCATGTATGCACTCAAGAGAAATAACCTTTTCTGTTATATTGTCCTCTATTTAAAACAAAGAGGATTATGCCCTTAAAATTTTTAAAAAGATTTTTATTGTAAAGGCAGATTTACAGAGAGGAGGTGTAGAGAAAAAGATCTTCGTCCGCTGGCTCCCTCCCCAAGTGCCAGAACTGAGCTGATCTGAAGCCAGGATCTTCTTCTGGGCCTCCCACTTGGCGAAGGGTCCCAAGGTTTTGGGCCATTCTTCGTTACTTTCCCAGGTCATAAGCAGGGAGTGAGATGGGAAGTGGAGCCCCCAGGAAACAAACTGGCACCCATATGGGATGCCAGTTCTTGAAAGGAAAGGATTAGCCGTTGAGCTATTATGCCAGGCCCCAAGCCGTTTTAAATAATGCTTGTATTGTCAGGCACATGTAATGATCAGAAGGGAAGAACAATGGGTCATCCACTCAGTGATGTGTGTTCATTGCATCAAAACGTCAACAGTTTGTCCAGTTTGTCGCAGTTTTGTCCTTTGTAGCGGAAGCAGCCGATCCAGATCTGTTAACCCTAGTTGTCAGGTGTCTGATTCCTCCTTCTTACTTGATTCTCTTTATAGCATATCTCAGCTTGGGTTTGTCACATGTTTCTTGTGTTAGGTTATAGTGTGACACTGTAGTGTGTCAACTGAGCTCTGCAGTGTGACACTGGCATTCTCTTATAATTTGCCCCATTATTGTGATGTGAACTTAATCAGTCTCTGAAGAAGCATCTTCCCAATTTCTTCTGAATATGCTTTCTCTCCATTTTTAATTTATATGTTATGGGGAGGTTCTTGGAAAATATGTAAATATCCTGACCGCATCAACTTTTTAGTTGTTCCATTTATATTTCAGTATAAATTTGGGTTTTCCTGTTTCACTCACTGAGTCCTGTAATTGAGTATTTGTTTGAATGCTCAGACTTTGTGCAGTTTCTTCAGTGAGTCCCCTTTCATACTAACTAACTCCTATGCCTTTTTAGTGTGTCACCATCATTCTTTGGCTACCAAGAACTCTTTACTTTTCCTGACCCAGCTGCAACTCGTGTTTTCACCAAGGAGCCCTGGTTTATGGAAATCAAGATTTCTCTTCTGGGTGGACTCATTGCTGTTAGGATGTCGCTACTTGATCTTACCGGCAGATAGTTAGAGCTGCACATATTTACATCTAATTTTATTCCAACCCTGTGGATTTGTCCAAGTTTTCTTTTTTTTTTCTCTCACATATTCATAGTAAGAAATTTGGCTAATACTAAGAAATATGGTTCCTTTCTTTAAAAAAAATCATTCATTTTTTTAAAAAAAATATTTTTTTATTGGAAAATAAAATAGACGAAGAGGAGGAGAGACAGAGAAAGATCTTCCGTCCGATGGTTGACTCCCCAAGCGGCCACAGTGGCTGGAGCTGAGCTGATCTGAAGCCAGGAGCGAGGAGCTTCTTCTGGGTCTCCCACATGGGTGCAGGGTCCCAAGGCTTTGTGCCATCCTTGACTGCCTTCCCAGGCCAGAAGCAGGGAGCTGGATGAGAAGCAGGGCTGCTGGGATTAGAACCAGCGCCCATATGGGATCCTGATGTGTGCAAGGGAAGGACTTTAGCTATTAGACTACTGCGCTGGACCCAATTTATTCTTTTTTTTTTTTTTTAAATTGGAAAGGCAGGTTTACAAAGAGAAGGAGAGACAGAAAGATCTTCCATCTATTGGTTCACTCCCCAAATCGCCACAAGACCTGGAGCTGAGTTGGTATGAAACCAGGAGCCAGGAGTTCTCCTGGGTCTCCCATGTAGGTGCAATGTCCCAAGGCTTTGGGCCATTCTCTACTGCTTTCCCAGGCCACAAGCAGGGAACTGAATAGGAAGTGCAACAGTCGGGACACTATGTGGCATCCATATGGGATGGTGATGCTTGCAGGAGGAGGGTTAGCCAGTTGAACCATAGTGCTGTGCTGGTTCCTGCATTCTTTTTTTTTTTTTTTTTTTTTGGTGATGTTTACATAGCTGATTAGGCTGTCAGGTGCATTAGGGAGCGGGATTGGAAGTGGAGTGACGTTAGCTTGAACCAGCCTCACTCTGACATGGGATGCCAATGATGTAGGTAGTGGCTTAGCCCACTGTATCACACCACTGTTCCCTGTTGGTGGGAATGTGTTTGTTAAAGAATTATTTATTTTGCAAGTTTGAGAAAGAGGAAGAGACAGAGAGATACTAATGTTCAATCTGCTGTTTTACCCCTGGCTGACTGCAAGGGGCCAGAGCTGGGTTAGACTGGAGCTTGGAGCTTCCCCTGTGTCTCCCATGTGGCTAGGCCCGGGCCCAAAACTTGGACCATAGTTTGTTGCTTATCTTAGGCTAGGGAGCTGGATGAGAGGTGGAACAGCGAGGATGTGAACTGCTGTCCCTATGGGATGCTGGCATTGCAGTCTGTGGTTCAACCTTCTATGCCATAATGCTGGCCTCTCTCTCCCCCTTTTTTTTTTTTTTTTTTCAGTTGGAGAGACAGAAAGAGACCTCCCATTCATTGGTTCAAGTGTCTCACTGGGCCAGGCTGAAGCCAGGAGCTAGGGACTCTTATCTGGATGTCCCATGTGGGTGGCCAGGGTCCAGTCCTTGAGCTGTAGCCACTGCTTCCTAGGTCTGCAGTGGCAGCGAGCTGAAGTCAGAGCTGCAATCCAACATCAACCTAAACACTGTGATGTAGAGCATGGGCGTCTTCACCAGTTTCTAAGCCACTGGACTACTGGTGTGCCCCAGTCAGTGGTTTTTCACACCCTAAAATGCTGTACCATCAGTGCCACCATGCATCCCCTTAACCATTGTCATGTGTAAAGCCGAGGTTGCCTACCCCGTGACAGTAGGTCCCCAGCCTCCCTCCCTGTAGTTCTAGTGACCATTGTCCTATCTTCTGTCTCCAGGTTCCCCAAGCACCTCATGTAAGTAGACTCACGTGACACTTGTCTTTGTGACCGACTTACTTCGTTACACATAACGAGCTCAGGGTTCATACGTGCCAACATACGGCAGTTTCCTTCCTTTTCAAGGGTGGCAGAGTAGTTCTGTCGTACGGGTAGCCTGTGTTTTGCTTATCCAGTCACATTCATCGATGGACACTTGCTCCCATTTTAGCTGTCATGAATGGTGTTGCAGCAAATGTGAGTGTACAGCATTGAAGAATACTGAGGAGGAGGGCACAGGGTAAGATGATTTGTTTTTTTTTTTTTTAAGATTTTATTTATTTATTGGAAAGTCAGATATACAGATAGGAGGAGAGACAGAGAGGAAGATCTTCCATCCGATGATTCACTTCCCAAGTGAGCGCAAAGGCTGATGCTATGCCGATCTGAAGCCAGGATCCAGGAACCTCTTCTGGGTCTCCCACATGGGTGCAGGGTCCCAAGGCTTTGGGCTGTCCTGAGTGCTTTCCCAGGCCATAAGCAGGGAGCTGGATAGGAAGTGGGGCTGCCGGGATTAGAACCGGCGCCCCTATGGGATCCCGGGGCATTCAAGGCGAGGACTTTAGCTGCTAGGCCACGCCACCGGGCCCGGTAAGATGATTTGTTAGGGAGGTGATGAGGAGTTTGATGATATGGGGCTGGTGCTGTGGCACAGTGGGTCATGCCACCATCTGCAGTGCCAACGGACTTTAGCCTAGTGGCTAAGGTCCATACTTTGCATGTGCCAGGATCCCATATGGGCACTGGTTTGTGTTCCAGCTGCTCTACTTCCCATCCAACTCCTTGTTTGTGACCTATGAAAGCAGAGGAAAATGGCCTAAAGCCTTGGGATCCTGTACTCGTGTGCGAGACCTGGAAGAGGCTTCTGGCTCCTGGTTTTGGATCAGCTTAGCTTTGGCTGTTACAGCCACTTGGGGGGTGGACCAGTGGATGGAATGTCTTTCTTTTTCTTTTTAAGAATTATTTTTCTCGGAAAGGCAGATTTACAGAGAGGAGAGACAGCGGGGAAGATCTTCCATCTGATACTTTACTCACCAAGTGACTGCAACGGCTGGAGCTGAGCCGATCTGGAACCAGACCCAGAAGTTTCTTTAGGGTATCCCTCATGGGTGCAGGGTCCCAAGGCTTTAGGCCGTCCCTGACTGCTTTCCTAGGCCACAAGCCGGAGCTGGATGGAAAGTGGGGCTTCTGGGACACAAACCAGTGCCTGTATGGGATCCTGGGCATGCAAAGTGAGGACGTTAACTGCTGGGCTACCGCACTGTGCCCCTTTCTACCTATCTTAAAATTATTTTTATTTTTATTTATTTATTCATTTTTAAAAAGATTTATTTATTTTTACTGCAAAGTAAGATATACAGAGAAGTGGAGAGACAGAGAGAAAGATCTGTCCAATGATTCACTCCCAGAGTGACTACAGTGGCCGGTGCTGCACCGATCCAAAGCCAGGAACCAGGAACTTCCTCCAGGTCTCCCACGCTGGTCCAAATTCCCAAGGATCCCATGTGGGTGCCAGTTCATGTCCCAGCTGCTCCACTTCCCATC